TGCTCTTTGAACTGAGCTTCATTGAATGTAGTTTGGTAAGGTAGCCACGCTGCTTGTTCCTACCGGTGGGCTGAACATGTTGCGCAGTCCATTTGCGTTGTAGCGGTTTTGCCTGACTACTGTAGCTGCTGCTCCTTGACATATGTTGATGAGGATGTAATGTAGATCTCTGGCAAGGTCTACTGCTTTGCTTGCTTGTGTAGGGTCACGTATGTATGCTCTGATGTCTGCATCCTCAACTCGTCATGAAACTACTTGTGCCAGTTGTAGCACAAGGCCGAAGTCTCAGTCTATGAGTCCGAGATATGCTTGCAGCTTGAACAGCCATGAAAAGCTCCAGGCCTGCGGCCATGTACCAGCTATGTAGTACAACACCACACGTACACTGACCTCTCTCTCTCTCTCTGTCTCCATGTGTCTCTGCGTCTGTCTCTGTTTACCCGCCTGCCTGCTTGCCTGTATGCATGCATGTATGCATGTATGCATGTATGCATGTATGCATGTATGTGTACACTTTTACGCGCGAATGTTTAAGGTCTAAACAGAGAGACAAAGAGAGAGAGAGAGAGAGAGAGAGAGAGAGAGAGAGAGAGAGAGAGAGAGAGAGAGAGAGAGAGAGAGAGATAGAGAGAGAGAGAGAGAGAGAGAGAGAGAGAGAGAGAGAGAGAGAGAGAGAGAGAAAGAGAAACAGCTTCTGGTGTACCAGGGCCACAAACCGGGCAGCCTCCCCCCAGCGGTTGCCCGCCAGGGATCAGGCCCGGGACTGGCTCCGCAAGCGTCATTGCCAGCCAAACAGCTAGAAAAAAAACAAGGGGGGGAAGGGGGGAGACCGGTGCGTTACTGAAAATCGTCCCGAAAGAGGGGCCGGGTGCATTACCGAAAATCGCCCCGAAAGAGGGGCAGGGCGCAGCGCGCTTCTTTGTTGGGAGCCAGGTTTTGCAAGTCTTTACGCACCACTTTTCATTTGGACATGCCTGCGTCGTAGCCCGTGTTGAGATACCAAAAGAAAAGGGCGTGTGACATTCGTTTGGAGCGCTACAAACAACCATTTTGGCATCGCTGCATTTGTTTCTGCGCTGCGCGCGTGAAGCCACTTATACGCCTCCGGCCCATGCGCAGCCCGCATTTCCACAATCTAAGTTTGTGCTTTCAGCCGTAGACTCGACCCCCTCTCTTGTCAAGACAGAACACTTCAACTTGTTGATGGATTTGTCTTTGGGCCAAAACGCGCAGCGACCTCTTGGAGCGCCTTAATCACAACTACTTCACAAAGAGGGAGCGGGCCGAGTGTAGGACCTTGACCCCTTTTAAGTCAAGCGTGCAAATCAACACGACTTGATTCTTATCGCCTCCGTACTGCGCTGAAATGTCATGATTTTGCATTTTGTGACTTTTTACACTGTCTTTTGCAACCCAAGGACCGAGGAACACACTCATTGACTACCGTTCGTTTGAACAAACAAAACTAAACGAAGGCGGCTGCCTAAACAAAGCCACGTTTCGCGCAAAACGTGACTGGGCTACTTTGAACATATAAGGCTTGCAAAAAACAGCATAACAACGAAGGCGACTAATTTAACCAAAGGTTTAGAGTCTACAGATTCTCCAGCTCGGCACAAGGATTCTGGCGGCGGCTTAACTTGAGCGCGGAAGGACTTTCGTTCCGTTCGGCTAAGATTCGGACAACTTCCGGGCTCTTGTTCAGACAGGCACGATCGTGACAGCATGACGGGTTTGTGCATGGCGCATGTGATTCAACACAGCATAAGTTTAACTTTGTTTTCCCTGCTCCCAATCGTTCTGCCGTCTATGAGTTAGCCTTTCGCTCCCCCCCCCTCCCGGAATGACCATGAGCATCGGCCAGCTCTTTGCCTGCAACTCCACGCATGATGACCAAGAACACGGCTTTAGGAGCTTCTCAATCAGCTTGCCTCTGCTGAAGCCACCGCACACTCCAGCCAGCTGAGAGCCACGATGGGCAGCAAAGCCTGCTTGTGCTGAAAGGTGATTGGTGAAACACACTGCGATAATCAAGCTGATCTTGCGGGGTTTGCCTGATCCCGTGCTCCCAGAATCAGCTGTTGCTAGCGGGGACGACACAGATGATTTGTCATTGCCCTCATGTCCTTCTGAGCAGTTTGGTTGCAGTCCGGACATGGCTTCATCGTTCACGCGTCTTTGCGTTGACCGGGAAACGCGATAGCAGGTGAACGAACACATCATGGCACGCAGACTGCTCGCCGTGCAAGTAAATCTGACTCCTCTCAACCAGCGCCGGCCTTGGGGCATGTGGTCAGTGTTTGGTCGCAGCAGCCACTCCCGCTCTGCGTGCAATGCAATGAAGCTATGAAAAAGGACATGTCATCTAGCGCAGATCACGCAAGTGCCACTGCCAGCGAACACCCACATGATGGAAGAGCCTGTGCGGTCTCCTCAACGCGTAGCGGCTTCGAACCAGGTGCGCATAGTTGCAATTTGCACTCTTAGCGGCAGCTTTGCGGCGCCAACACGCAGATTGCCCGTGACAAGAAATTCCACACCCTGGACAATCTTGGCGCCCGCGCAAAACCTATGCGCGCGCCGACTTTTATTTTATTTTTTGCATCAGCACGAGTCGAGCCTCCCGAAACCCTGCTTTAAGGGGGCTTACCAGGCACCAGGGGCACTCACGCTGTTTTTTTGGAGGCCAGGGGTCGAGGCGGCGACGGCGCCGGCAAGCGCGATCGGAGATGGGAAGGGGGAGTCGGAGCCGCCGAAGGGCAAGCGTACAGAACAAGGAGACCGGAAGGACAGTGAACAGCCGACCAGCAAACGGACCCTGCCGCGACTCAAGCAAGCAACTGGAAGAGCGGTCAAGCTGGGTGCGCAGCTGTGCGGACAAGCTGTCCTCAACAACAGCGGCCACCCACGGGCAGGATCCCCAAGCAAGGTGAGACCATCGTCGGAGTCCTCAAGCAAAGGAGCAGGCTCGGCCCCAGCCAAAACTTCATGCCAAGTGGGGGGACGCCAGAAAGAAGAGGCAAGCTGGCGACGGCCGCCGCAGCAGCCTGCAAGCACAAGGCGGGGCTGACGCTAGCTTCGAGGTGGGGAAGGCTACCTCGAGCAAACGCAGGGAGCGGGGCGACTCGGCCCGCTCCCTCTTTGCGAAAATTAAACTTGGTCGCTGGCTCTTTTAGCCAAAGACACATCCATCAACAAGTTGAAGTGGGTTGTCATTATGCATATGTGCGGCGTACAGCTTTGCATGAATGACTATGCGCACATGCACGTACACATGTGCAAGCATGCATGCGTTCACGTTCGAACTGAACAAGTGCGTGTGTACTTGCTCATGTGTACATGTATATATGCATGCGGGTACATGAATGATACATGCTAATATAGATATACACATATATATATATATACATACATGTATACGGTTAACCGTCTGTGCGGACATGTTTGCATGTAGGCATCTGTGCAGCTTTGCGGGTGTGTATCGGAGTGTGTTCATGTGTGTGTTTTGTTTCCGTGTTGCGTGTGTATGTGTTCGCGTCTTTCTCGACACTTGTGGGGATGCATGCCAGCATGCAACTCTTCATGTTTGTTGTGCGCTTATGCATGTATGTGCGCACATATGGCTTTCACATCTATATGCATGTATGTCTGAATGGACACATGCTTCCATGCCAGCACGTACGTACATGCGGGTGTGTGTGTGTGTGTGTGTTGGCAAGCAGCATTCGCTGAGTGAGACCATTGGATGGTGGGGAGTGTAGCATTTGGACAGGCCAGGACTTCAAACGATGGGAGCAACTGCCTTGATGGCATGAGACTCGCAAGAACTCTCTGTGTCAGCGGCATGGCTCGCCGTAGTCTTGCCACGCAGCCCAGCCGCACCTGAGCCAAGATCTTTTTTCAGAGCGAATGGAAAAAAGTCAACGCGTGGAAGTCAAGTTGGTGAAATGAGCTTCTGCAGAACCGCTAGTCCTGAGGAACGTACAGCAAAAGCATGGGGAGGACCACCATGATGTTCTGCCTTGGCTCAAGGCAGCTCAACGCAAGGAGTAAAGGCATAGGCTCCTTCACAAACCGACCCGGCCCTTCGTTTCCTTGCGAAATGAGCGGCGACGGATTCTTGCCAATCTACCCCTACGTCACATGAGTCATGGAAACCTAGCCTTCAAGGTGCCTTACCCAGCCAAAAACAGGGCCTTCAGTGTAAGCATCGCCCAGCCAGAAAAGAGACTCTTCTGAAAGTGCCACAGGTGGTCTTGCAATCAACGAAAAAGGAAAATATCAGAGGGGTTGCCACAAGCCGACTTCCGTACAAGGGCCCCGGCAAGTGCAAGGCCGAGTACGAGAGGTTCAGCAGGGTAGGCGAGATCAGGCCGGCCAGCAGTGTTGAGAGCTGGCCGAACGTGCGCACTGCACGAAGCGAGCCGCGCGGTGCTCGGAACGGGGCGGGGGAAGCTCCTTTTTCAACACGTGCCTCAAACCGAAGGGTCAACCACCAGCAGGGCTCGTGTTTTTCTTCTCCACGATCAACTTCGAGGGTAACTTCCTGAAACGTGCAACCAACCACAAGGCACGTCAACTTTACAATGCTGACACATGCTGCGCTTTGGCAGGCACAAACAATAACAAACAAAACAAGTACCAGCACCATTGGTCACTTTGTGGAACCCTCACTCAGGCACACGCGCGAGAAAACAAGCACACAAAGCCTTTTGGGAAAATTCGAGTTGCAAAACAGCAAGCCGCCCAGCAAAATAAGCTGCGATCACAGTCAACCTCTGACCCCCACCTCCATTTGCATGTTCAGTGCGGAAAAGAATGACTTCCTCCAGAACAATTGAACAAGGGAATGTGACCAGGCAAACGGAAGGCGTTGTTTTGGGTTGGCTTGAAGGGAAATCCCAAATCAAACCCAGAGAGCCATAACAAATTCCTGGTGCTGAAAAAAGCCATCTGCCAAAAACTCTAAACGAACTCGAAGGGCAAATGTCCACACCCATCTATGGTTGGCCCGTGCCCTCCAATTGCTCCAGGCCAAAGGTGTCGTGGAGGAAACACGCCAGCGGTACCGGCGGAAAGTTCAAGGACAGGGCGTTGTCCTAAGCCATTGGATCCCCGTGGCATCAGGTCGCAGCGCCCAGTGTGCAGACAAGAAGAAACCTTGGGGCCACAAACAGGGAAATGATGGAAAAAGAAAGGAATGGGATCATTTTTTCCTGTATCACCCGCCCACCTTGATTCGGGAGATGCCTAGAAGCATTGATCTCCAGGGTCACCTAAAACCTCTCCCTCAGTTCCATGAAGAAGCAAGCGAACTGTGTTCAGCTACCACACGAGCCCATGTATTCCATGCCAAAGAGGTGTCGCTATTCCGATCTCAAATTAGGATCATGGCTGACCAGCACAAGAGCTGGGGCTCCGTCTCTCCATGGCCAAACCCTTGCGGAAAGAAAGACTCCAATAATATTGACCCCCGATGAGGAAAAAAACTGGTTGATTAATAGGGGGGTGTCCAATTCCTTTTAGTGGGGATGCAAACCACTGTTGACCCCCCTAATCATGGGACGGGTTTATTCATCCTGGGACAACATTAGAACCCAAATAGGTTCTGTGGAAGGCCGGGGCCAATGACTAGCAACAGGCGGATTCATCTCAAATGGCTTCCCCTGTCATCGTCCTCTTGACAGTTCGGGCCCCCACCAGATCCAACAAAATCATCGCCTCCTCTGCCTCCACGGCCCGCATCACCTGAGCCCGAAACCCTGGTAAACCCGGCGCCGGGGTGCCGAATGGGGCAACCCTGAAGGTTTGCCCCAACATGACTTCGTTGGGGGAATTCGAGATTTTTTGGGGAGCCCCGGTTTGGAATATCCTTCTATTGGGACTTTCCTTGCCTCGAGTTTCAGGTCCTCGCTTCTTCCGGCCCCTTCCACACCTATGACAAGCTGCCATGTCAAGCAACATATCCCAACAATCCTCGACTGCATGATAATGTTGACCCCGGATCTTCCAACCCCACACATGCCAGGGAACGTCTGCCACAACTATAGGAAAGCATCCAAGATCCTTCAAAATGGAACAAACGCGCGCACGCAAAAACACCATGGCTGGGATGCCCTGCAGCGCCAGCTGTGCTATTCAACTCATTCATCAGGAAGGTCTTCGCCTTGCGAACTCAGACTGAGGTCAACTAGCCGTCTGCATGTGGTCTGAAAGGGAACACTTTAATTGAGGATCCCTCAAGGAAAACGGCGAGTGTGGCAAGAGGGATCGGGACACAGAAAAGCTGAACCCATTTTGCCAAGGCGCCCTCGCAATAGACTTCATAGCATTTAGGGGCGACCAAGCCTCTTTAGAACAGTAGCTCCCCACCAGTCGTTTACATTTTGGGCTTGAAAAAATATGCTCCCTCCGATCGGTTCAAGGGAACTGTTTGGCGATAACATGGGGATTTGCACCCCCTTTTTGGGTTCCTTCTCACAATTTGCCGTGCAGGAAAGGCACCTGCCAATCCCTGCCCGAGCCTTGTCTGGGAACTGATAGAGCCGCGACCTGAAATCTCGAGAACTTGAGCTCGGCACAACCTTCTTTGCCTCTTCACCCCGAACTTGGGAAAGGGGGACTGTTTCGCAACGCGTGCCCACAAGCATGGCAAAAAAAAAAAAAAAAAAAACGATTGAAAAGTGCCGCCCGGCAATGGTTGCAATCTGGAACTGCACCCCTAGATCCGCTACAACGGCAGGCCTGAGAGGAATGACCAACCCGGGGGGGGGTTGGGCGGGAGCAAATGTCATTGCACGCTGCCTTTGTGAGGTGGGGTTGCGAGCAGCCAAGCCCTCTTCGTTTTCCGCGCGAAAAAAGCATAGAAAACTCTGAGTGCCGTCCCCTGCCCCCACCCCCCCTCATTCGGACGCAAAAGCCACCCTTGCCCCCCCAAAGGAACAAGTGGGGCACAATCCATCGCACTTACACCATGTAAAGCATAGAGAAAGGGCGCCTTTTTCCGCCGCTCGCGGACTGGGACCCGCGGCTCCAGGATGCCGCGCACAGCCTGCCAGTGGCAAAGGCCCATGCGACCGAACCAAAGGAAGCTGCATGCAACGCGAGAGGCCAAAAACTTGGGAGACAAAGAAATTATCGTGCATCTTAGGCAATGCCAAAGAAATTCCACACGAACCCCGGGGCTCAGAAAACAAATACTTCTAAAAAAAGATGCATCAACATCCGCCAGAGAAAAAGAATGTCAAGCTGCTTTGCCATTTGCGGTTGTCCTGAAACGGGGGAGACCTCTGTGTCAGTGTGCTCGAATGAAGGAAACCACCAGGAGACCAAGCTGCGGTCAACTCATCCCGTTTGACTTGAAACTAGGAAGCTATGCATAGAACGACTCAATTAATTCAATCGCTTCTGTATTCTGAAGAACTCAAAGAATGCTCTTCCGTGACTTCTGCGTGGGCTACGTTACCAAAAACATGACCTCACCCCAGCTCCCAGCCCACCCAACCCCCCACCCGAAAGGAAATCCCGCCTGGCCCTTGGCGAGCTTGGGCCCGATCTTCTGCGCCACCGACTGCACCAGCGTCTTGGCCAAGGACCTCGGGCCCGCGACTCGGATCGGCGGATCGGCGGATCGGCTGGCAGACGTGAACTTGGCCCTGGAGACTTCGGTTCAACCCGCGACCAAATTGAAGAAACCCCAAACGCGGGTCCAAAACGAAAGCGCGTTCTCCCCTCCCACCTTGTTTTCATGGAACCTGACAGGGGAGTCCCTTTCAAAGCGGCAACTGGCTCGTTGTCGACCAAACGGTTCCTTTTTCCCATCGAAACGAACCCCGAGTCACATGGCTCACCGACAAAACCTCTGCCCCCAGGCTCGAAGTCCTGCATTGCCGCCTCCGCCCGCTGCTCGGCCGAGCTCAGCACCTGGAGTTAGGAACCAAAGCAAACCTTAACAGCCCAACGTCTGAAGTCGGTTGAGTTGGGTGGGTTTGGAGTTGGCTCAGGGATGGTGTAGGCTGGGTTTATGGGTTTAGGCTTGGCGTACTGAGGGTCGTACACAAATGCGTATATATGCACATTTGCAGGCACGCATGGACTTCGCAAGCCCAACCTCCCCTTGCCAGCCTCTGAGGTATCAGGCGCAGACTCCTGCAGGCAAAGACATCAGAAAGCATGCTGACTGCCCTTCCACTTCGGTCAAACCAAGGCCAGCAAAAACTCCGCTGCACTGCGTATGCAGTGCGTGCCAACCAAATTCCGCTCTGCGCAAATTCCGCTCTGCGCAGCCCGTGAGCCCTCGGTTTCGGCGCGCCTCTGCCGCTTCCTGGCAAGTTTCATCCCCGACCTGTTTCTGACCGCCATGCTGCCTCCAGTCCGAATCCAGCTGCTACAAGCCCTACCAGTCTACCTTTTGACTGCGCTACCTGCCATCATGCACCAGCCAGAGTTAACTAGAACCCTGAAGTCCAAGACCTTCATCCTGTACTACCCCCAAGTTATCAGCGAGGGTCACAATGCCATGGCACCCCCCCCCCTCTCCCCCGCCTGCACAACCGCCGCCTTCTCGCTCTCGGTCTTCTCCATTTTGGGCGCCCAAAGGTACAGCGCCGCCGCCACTGTGGCGAAGAGAAAGCTCGCCACCTTTGCGGCTGCGGTTGAAAGAACGCTTGTGGAGCACCTTTTGGAGGGTAAAGAAACAGTGCTTTTTATCTTTTCAGAGCAACTTGACTGGGTGAGTTCTATTTTGGTGGGTGATGTTGAAAGGAGCGGGCGTGCATTTGGTGGAACCCAACCAGGAAATTCGATAAGTCAAGTTCCTTCCGTTGATCCCTCCCGACAGTTCAGGTAAAAACCTGAGCCTTGGACCATGGAACAGCTTGTGCAGGGGCGTTGCATGCGCTCAGCACAATAAATTCAATGATGCCAACTACAAGAAAATTATAAACAGCCACAAACACGTGAAGCCCTGAAACAGGCCAGTTGGAGCAGAACTTGCTTGCGGCAAAGCCGGAGAACTGTCACCTCCGACGGGTTTTGCTCGGTACCACATGTCGGTGAACGTTGCCTCTCAGCGAGAGCGGCTTGCACAGCCCACCAAGGCCAGCGCTATCAGCAGACCAGCTGTGTCAGCTCGGCTCTCCGAGAACATGCCCTCCACCGTCTCCACCAGCGAGCTCGCCTGCGGGTTTAACGCGCAGGTCTTTCCCAACAAAAAGCACGGCCGTGCCGTGGCCAAAACCCCACATGTTTGTTTCAGCTTCCCGTGGTTTGGATTGGTGCTTTGGAGGTCAGTGCAAAACGTCAAAGAGGCTCGTAACGTCTTCACTGCGCACAGCAGAAAAACAAACTCCCAGTTGCGGCCCCTTTGGTTTCTCCCCAGCCAACACCATTGAATCCAAACGTGAGAAGGTGGGGCCGATGGAAACAAAATGACTCTTTAAACTTGTGTGCGTAACAAACGCAGAGCGAAGGAAAAGCTATGAATTTGGCCCTTGGTTGACTCTGCATCACCCTACGCATGAATTGAAAGTCTGCCTGGCTCCGGTGGTCTTGCAGCGAGGGGTTGCGCTCCCCGTTCACCGTCGCCTGCAGGAGGCCTAGCGTCTTGAGACATTGCAAGTTCCACATTCCCAAAAATTGATCTTTGGACCTCCTTAAAAGATTGATCACGCGTTCCAGGTCTTCGAGTTCTCCTGTGTTTGAGCCCGCGCACAGCGGGTGGGAACAAGCAACCCCACCGGCAAAAGTAAGTTTTAAATGCCCGTCTTCGAGAAGGCAACATCGCAAGGCCTGACGCGTTTATTTGAAGAATCCTTTCTAGTTGGTTTCTTCACAGGAATGCCCATATAAGGAGTATGCAAGCGGTATGCAAGTCAGACAAATTAAGGGACCATTCACAAAGCCCTGCCACGCCTGTGGCACGTGCTGGAAGCCTGGCTTCGCTGGCAAGCGTCATCTTGTCCTCCGGGGCTCTAACTCGTCTGCAAAAACGAAACTCGCGCTTCATTTTGGACGTTGTATGTGCAACATCCCTGTCCGCTTCTTCGCCCTGCCCAAACATCCCCCCACCCCCCCCACCCCCCCCACCCCCCCCACCCCCTCAGCCCCGAGCCTGTGCAAAGAAAGCCGCCGCCACGGCGGCGAAATTGCAAATGAGTAAGGTGTGCCTGGCAGCCCCGCCCGACAGCCACACACAACCCGCTGGCCGAACCCGCCCCCTTGCCCCCAGCGCTAGGGAGCCCACATTACGCGGATAGTAAGGGTAAGGGTGGCGTTCCGGAAAATCGCAGTGGTTCAGCCCACAGGCTTGAGCACATCATGGCCAGGCATGACTCTTTTGTTCAAACCATGATGCACTTCAATGCTTTAACATGCAGGCTACATGAGCAAACATTCAAAAGGCGAAACTGGCGCGCAAAGCACTTGAAAACGCTATTGAGCTGAACCAACCAAATGTGACTCGTGCTGCTGGAGACTGGCGTGCGGCAAAGAAAAGGCACGTGTTCTATTTTCTTGGAGCAAACGCACGCAGTGCCCGGATGTGCCATCCTAAGCAGCGTTTCCAGCACAGGCTCGGCATGACAACACCACGAAAGAAAATTGAGCATGGCTGGCAGGCATCCCCTCTCTTTCTATTTTTTCAGCCCCCCTGGCCCACAGTTTGCCAACGAATAAAAACTGCAGGAGGCCAACCAAAGCGAAACCAAGGAGGCGCTTAAGCATCTGACGGCCCGACCAACAGATCATGTGTCTGGCCAGAACCCCACCGCACTCAACGTGTTCCTAAGCAACAATCATCTGGAACCCCTCCACCGACCCAGACAAACCCAGCACGAGGCCAACAACTCCTTCAGGCAGAGCCGCGCTGGTAGGAAGCGAACGGCCTCCAGCCTACTGCCGAGCCGGACAATGCCTAGCCGCAAAGCGGCACCACCCAACGGGCAACGCACGGAACCGGCCCTGATGCCCCTGCGTGCGCCCAAATTGCGCCGCCACAAGGGCGAAGTTACCACACACGTACAAAGCGGCATTCCAAGCCGGCGCGTTGCCGCGCTGAAGCTGGAATCGAGCCCAAATCCAACACAAAACGCGCAAGAAAAAATCGAGAACGAGGGGAGCACGCTCTGGTGTGACACTGGATCTCACCTGAGAGGAACTGACGCTGCACGGTGGCCAGCGCTGCATGCTGGCCAAGTACAAACAAGGGCATCAACGGATCGTTGCGTTTGTCTTCGCACGGTTCATTCCAGCCGTCAAGGAAGCATGGAGCAAGCGTGACTACAAGCATAAAACAAGTCTGTGATTCTTCGTTTTCTTTCGTGTTGTCATCTTCTTTGTCTATTTGCTTGTGTAGTGTATTTTCTCTACTTCTTTTTCGGTTTTTGCCTGTATTCCCTTCTTCCTTTTTCCCTTTCTTCCTTTCTTCCTTTCTTCCTTTCTTCCTTTCTTCCTTCCTTTCTTCCTTTCTTCCTTTCTTCCTTTCTTCCTTTCTTCCTTTCTTCCTTTCTTCCTTTCTTCCTTTCTTCCTTTCTTCCTTTCTTCCTTTCTTCCTTCCTTTCTTCCTTTCTTCCTTTCTTCCTTTCTTCCTTCCTTCCTTCCTTCCTTCCTTCCTTCCTTCCTTTCTTCCTTCCTTTCTTTCCTTCTTTCTTTCTTGGAGCACTGTGCGCCGACACTGGCTAGTTGATGCGCCAACAAGGAACACGCTTGTGCGCCAACGGTGGGCACGCTTATGCGCCAATAAGGAATTCTCTTGTGCGCCGACAATGCACGCGCTTGAGCGCCAACAAGGAACACGTGTGTGCGCTGACAATGGATACGCGTGTCCGCCAACAGGGACACTTTTGTGCGCGCAGGATAGAACGCTTATGCGCGAGCAAGGTCCTCTCTTGCGCGCCGAGCGGTTGTGCGCCAACAACGGGCACTGTTGCGCGCCGACAGTCGACACACTTATGCGCCAGCAAGGAACACTCTTGTGCGCCGACAGTGAACACACTTGCACGCCGACCACGCACGCTTGTGGGCTTGGCGCGGCACCATCTCGAAAGCATCTGTCCCGAAACGGTGCAGGCCGTTCAGCCTGTTGCTTCCCGGTACGCTTTGGGACACTAAGCAAAAGAATAGCATTCGCTCAGCTTCTATAGTGTTCGTTCGGTGAATCCACAAGGACTCGTATCACTGCAAAAGCCACAATGAACAAGGCTGTTGCTGGGCTGAATGGGCACGCTTATGCGATAGTAGTGAACACGCTTGTGCGCCAACAGTGCACCGCTTGCGCGCCAACAGGGAACCCGCCGCCGTGGGCTAGCGTTGTTAGGGCGGGACCCCGGAGTCTGCCCTTCAGCTTACCGCCTCCCGCGCAGTTGGTGACCACCTTGCCCTGCAGCTTGTTGACCAACTCGATGCGGCCGCCGGCACCATGTTTGTTTCCCAGGCCGGCCTCTTTGCTTCCGGGGATTTTTGGCTGCTCCCACTCCGGAGTATGCTCCTCCTTCGCTGTTTGCGGTTCCTTTTGCCTTTGGGTTCTGCTTTGTGTGCGTGTGGGCGTGCTTTGACCACAGCGCCGTCTGGAGCCTGCCGTGGGCCTCTTGAGCGAGCCGCGGCCCAAATCTGCCGGAAGGCCGGTGCCACTGTCACAACTCACACCTTTCTGCGTGACTTGAATGTCCATGTCGAGCAGCTTGACGACAGCCGCATATTGCGGCGCGCAGCTTGCCGTTGACACCACCCTCGTTCCGGCCCTGGGCTCTAGCGGGCGCGCCCGCGTTTATCAGCGCCCGGCGCGACAAAGAGCGCACTTTCCAGCCGATGTCGCCCCGTCGCGCTTGCCATCGGAGTCGCTGGACGGTGGAGCCCCGAGGCTGCACAGTTCATCCAACTCCTTGCTAGGGCCAAAGCTCGCTCTGTCCCAGATGAGCAGCAGGCGTCTTGTGCCGCTGCCTTTCGTGCGCGGTTGTCAGCTCTGCTGTCCTTTGCTGTCGCCCGTGCGTTTGGTTGCAACCTTCTCGAGCTGCCCGCCCCAATGCGCACAACCTTGAAGAGCCCAGTAGGCCACCGCTGCCACTGGCCCCGCCCTTACTCTTTCTTGGGCAGCAGTCTGTACCCCCACCAGTTCCTGCGCGCTTTCAGGCAGTGAAGGAGGTCCGCAACAAGCCTTTTCTTCGCTGGCCGAGATCGGCTGCGCCTTTGGCCGGGCCGAGTTTGCAGTTTTTGATTGTGCCCCGCGCGTGGCCGTCACGGCCGTGCCCCGGCACGAGGTTTGACTGAGGCGCCGAGAAGGAGATCAAAAAGCCGCGCGCAGTTGGTTGGGCCGCGTTCCCCTACACCATTCAGTGTGCTAGTTTTTCTTTGGCAAAGCCACGGCAAGGACGGAGGCGGGACATGTCCCCCCAAGCCGAGAAGTGGCCTGTGCGGTGGCAAGTGCAAGCGGCGTTGCCGCAGCGCCGGCAGTATTGGTCGACAGCGATGACGATCCCACGCACGGAGGGGCAGTACCGCCCACCCCTGCCGGAGAAGACACCCCACCCGGCGGGCCGGCCGCGGCGCTGGAGCCGGGCATTGCGCCCGGGGCTGTTACCCCGCCAAGCGGCGACATGGATGCGTGCTGCATTTGTTTCGAGCCGCTTTGCGCTTGCCCGTGTGTAGCCGCCACACGTTGCATTTGCAATGCTTAGCACAAATGCGTGTCCAGGCACGGCGGCGTCAAGACATGCAGTGTCCTTTGTGCAGGGGCGGCTTGTGCTCACTACACCACACGGACGTCCACGGCTAATGATGCCCCAGAGCCGGCCCCGCCACTGCACGCGACGGCAATCTGCTGCCACTATTCCCGGAAGTGGCGGGGCGGACATGGAGTTTGTTGAGTTGCCACAAAGAGATATGCCGCGGTCGCCTGTCCCCATTCGCCATGCGGCGGGCGTGGCTGCATGGCGGCTAGCGTGGACGTGCCGCGCGCCGATTGTCAAAAACCGCGGGATGCTGCGCAAGGTCGGCATCGGCGTTGCAAACTCCTCAGCCAAATTGACATCGTCCAACCACATCCAAGAAGATTCGGGCACCGAAGGTCCCGCAGGCCCCGCCGTCAGCCCGAGCAAGGAATCGCTGTCAGACTCGCTCGCCGCCGGCGGCGGCGGAGTGGGAGCACGAGAAGGCACAATGGAGTCGTCGGACTGTGCGCCCTCATCTTGCGCGACCGCCACGCCCGACCCGTGTGGAGCCGCGGGCCGGCGTGGGGGCTCCGTGGAAGGCTCGGCCGCGGGCAAGCCAGCGCGCAAACCTGGGACCGTCCGCGCTGCGTGCGCCGGCGCTGGCACGGTGGCTAGCGCGGGCTGGGAGGCAACGCCATCCCTGCATCGTCGCGGAAACCGCGGGACAGCCTCTCGGACAGGTGGTGCCCACCGAACACCTGCAGGCAAACTTCCTGCATCATGTTCGCGCGCGCAAGCCCGAACCACCCAGGCGAGGTGGACGTGCGCACCAACCGCTTCCGCGGACAGTGCGCGCTGGACCGCGCCGGCATCTTGCGCGGCGTCTCCCGCTGCGTCCCGTGCAGCGCTGACGAGCTGCATGTCTTCGGTCAGCACAGCCGGGCTCACGGGCGTTGTGGCTAAGGCCTGCGCCGCACAGAGCCACCAGGCACGCGTGCGACGGTCTGCCCGCCAGCTGTCAGCGGCCTCAGGGCGCAACAGTCCCGCAGCCTGGAGCAGGACGTGAAGCTTGGCGGGCGGGCATCTAGCCAGTCAGGTTCCACTGCATCCACGGCGCCGGTGGGCGCGTCGTAAACCCATCGCCGGGGGTGGCCGCAGTCGGGGCAGGCAGCCCCGGCCGCAGCGGGCACGTTTGCCTCATCCCAGTCAACCTGGCGCGAACAACGGCGCCTTGGTGTATGCCCTGCAGGCTACCAAGGACGCGGGGACAGCGCAGAGACGCTTGCAGGCGTGGAAGCTGTTCCTGCTAGCGCCCCGCCTGCTGTTTGCGCGCTGCGCGCATACAGGGGCAGTGGGAAAGGTAAGCTTGCAACAAAAAGTCTCCGACTTCCTGGCGGGCCGGTGGAGTTCGTTGCTTGCAGCGGCCCACGCTTTTAGGCCGGCGGGCCGAGCCCGAGCCGTCACAGATGTCTTGGCTTCCCGCCCCCGTCAGACCCTGACAGCCTGCCCGCGTGCGCGCCAGGCGGGCTCCACCCGCGGTGCGGCGGGTCGCTCGCGCCGGCTGGAGTCGGCGCTGGTGGGGCATTCTGGCCTTTGCGGTGCAGCGCGCGGTTTGCAGCACCGCCGCCTCTGGCTGGCAGAGCCCGGCGCCCCCAGCAGCCTCCCCCTCCGCGGGT